AATTTCATTTATTAGAAAATAAAGTAAGTTTAAAATTATTTTTTAGTTTGAATTTAGAAATAAGTAAGATATCTATTTTTAAAATAATTTTCTACTTTTTCTTATTTATAAGTATTAAAGCATGTTTGGAAAATGTTAAAAACATTTTCGATTGTAAAGACGAATTTCGAAATACGTGAATAAAAAATGACTCAGTTGTAATTAAAAATTAGATTTTTAGTAAAATCGATAAATATTGATAAAATGTGTAGATGAAAAAACGATAAAAATTCCATAAAATATGTGATTAAATTTAATTTTCCGTTTTAACATAAATTATTACCAAAATTTTAAGTCGCACCAAAAATAGGCCTAATGTTTATAAATAATTTATAAATATGAGATAAATATAGACTAAGAAAAAACAATGTATTTAAATATCTATGAGATAAAAACGTTACTTAATGACGACAAATAAGGAGTTACGATACTTGTACAAGATCCAAGGTAATCTAGTTGGGGATTATTTCACCAATATTTTAATGGAATTGAGGTAGAACGGAATTAAATTTTGTTTCCACCTCATCAGTTATTTTTAGATCAATGTTTTTTTAGTGATAGTATCGACATTATGTCAAATTCAATCAAATATTGCTTTAAACATCTTTTCAATATTAGTTTCGGGATTGGTGAACGTGGTGCTCGTGTTTCAACGTAAAGCTTTATGCTAAATCGAATGAAAATTATGTTCAATATTATTAGAACAGATGTAAGGGGTTGACAAGCAAAATACTGTGAGTGATACTCATCAACGCACAAGAAATTACTTAAAATAATTAAAATCGACGCTAAAATAAAAGTCTATAAAAAATTATCTCGCATGACTTAGCAAGAATACAATTGCATGGCTTAACAAAAAGCTCAAAAAGTTCACTTGAAATTATAACTAAGATACACAGTTTATGAATACAAACCCAAAAATGGTATATTTTCCAAAGGAACAATACAATATTTAAGGTGGTCAGAAAATATAATTTCAAAATTAAAATACATTTTTAAAACTTCAAAAACCAAGTCATAATTAAATTTTGTTAATTAAAATAGATAATTAAATATATTAAAATCATAGTACTACACAATTTATGATCACAATTATTTACCGGTCACAATCAGAAAATGTCACCGTCATGAATCACAAAATTCATAGTTCAAAACTTCTTTATCGGTAAAAAATTATCAAATTAATAGGTCACACATTATTTTTCGATGACAAATCACAAATTTTATAGTCACGACTTATTTATCAGTAAAAAAATATCAAATTAATAGGTCACACATTATTTCTCGATGATAAATCACAAATTTTATAAGTCATAACTTATATTTTCGGTCATAAATTATTAAATTAATTGGTTATGAGTTATTTTTCAATCACAAATTATTAAATTAATTGATCACAACTCAACAGATGAATTATCATATTAATATGTCACGTGTTATTTTTCTATCACAAATTCGCAAATTTTATAAGACTCAACTTATTTTACTTTCACAAATTATCAAATTAATTGGCTGCAGATTATTTTTCGATCACAAATCACAAATTTTATAAGTCACAACTTATTTCACTTCTACAAATTATCAAATTAATTGATTGCAAATTATTTTTCAATCAAAATTAACAAATTAATTGGTCAGTGAGTCACAATTACAAATTTAGTCGTAATCTTACATTGTTAGGTCACATATTATTTATTAGTCACAAATTAACTAATTTATTGATCATAATTACCCAAAATCCCACCCCACCCAACCTCATTCCGCCACCAACATCATCTGAACATTCGCCACCTCACAACCAACACTGCCACCACATGGTTCCATCACCATTTGACACCACCGCGCAAAACTACCACCACCATCACCAACTGCACAATTGCACGCCGCACCACCGCCACCACTATCATCACCGTCATTACCTACACTGTCACCATCATTTGGTAAAACACCAACAACCACTCACAAAACTTCAACTAAACATCAAATTTGATCAGAAAAACACTCACAACAGATCTGATCAGAAAAACCACCAATAAATTTCAACAAATGCCACTGCACGTAGTTGCCTCGCAGCGCAACAACATTGCACCACTTCACACAATGGTGTTGCTAGAGCGGTGGCATCAGAAGAGAAAAGTGATAAAGAGAGAGAAGAGGAGAGGAAAATGATTTAGGGTTTGAGAATGAAATTGGGGTGGGTGGGTGGGTATGTAGATTAATTTAATTTTATAATATTATTATTAATATTTAAAAGATGAATTATCATCTAATTTTTGAACAAAAAAATTTGAAACCTTATTTTTGAATTGAGAAGTTAAATATCATGGACTAGTGTAGTTTACACTATTTCCAATTCCATTATTGGCTTTCTCTTCTCCCTCTCGGATTCCTACCGCACAAAGAATACCTGAATCTTCCCATACATTAAACATCTATTTTTAACCAAACACCATGCTTTTTAGGTTTGCAGAGGAGAATAATATTTGCAATAAAATCAATTCTATGCTCATGCCTCCACTAATTCTTCACAGAAAAAGAACCCAACAGAAATTCCT